TGCGCGCTCGCGATCCTCTCTAGCCGACGGTCTTTTCTCAGGCTTGCTCTTTCCCGGGGAAGGAGTTAATGCATTTCATTAATCACGAGAAGAGGACGACCTTTTCCACCCTCTGCCCTCTTCACGCCATCCCCATCTCCTCCCTACTTCGTCGCCCGCCGCAGACGATACGGAGCAGTTGATATTTTCCCTCGTTCCCCGCTGCGCCTAGTTATTATTATTATTTGTCATCTCACCGGATTCCTTTTTTTCTTCGTCCCCCCAGCCCTCATTTATTTATCCCTATCCTCACGGTCCGGCCCCGTTCGCCGGAGTAAAATCAGGGCGCGGTGATATATAAAAATAAAGTGCACACGAGCGTGCACGCACACGCTCATACATATATATATATATATATATATATATGTATGTATATATAAAGGCGCGCACGCACGAGCGTAAGACGTAGCCGATACGAGTTTACGCGAAGAGCGAAAAGGGAGAACTAAATGGCGAACGGGGGATGCTAGGGGAGGCAGGGAAAGAGGAAGAGAGGGTTAACCGGCGGCGTGAGAGAGAAGGAGAGGGAGAGAGAGTCCGCTTCAAGAAAAGCTTGACAGCTCCTACTTTTTGCCCTCGAAGTTTCTGAATGGCGGCGCCCTAAGAATATCTCGGCGAAAGAGGACAAGGGGTTGGCTCGGCGACGAGAGGGACGCATAACGTCGGAAGCCGGCACACTGGGGTGGATCGTTCTCTGTGCGAAGCAAACGGCAGCTCCCTTGTGCCGGATCTGCCATTTGCGAGCGCGTTCGCCCATCTTTAATGTCACGGACTCAATACGAGAGATAGACGGGTCTTATACAGCGACATTTTGATGAAGCGCTTGCTTCGCGGTTATCACCGGCGAGCGCCGTAGACGAAATCGTCGCTGTGTTGCGTCGCTTCAAACGGACTCGTTACGGTGGTTAAATGCACTCAAAGTGTTTCCGTTGTGTCGCGAGGCAACTCACTACGTGTCTACGAGCTTCTCAAATTTGTCGGCTATTGTGCGCGTCTGTGGTTGATACTCGGGCTCTTTTAATTTTTTCATTTAAAAGAGACCTCCCTCTCGAAGAGCGCTTTTTGCCTTATACTTGTCTGTTTTTCGACTTGTTCACGTAGAAGATGTTAATTTAAGACATAACATATAGATGTAGGAGATTAAGGATGTGTCACCTATAAGTGAAAATAATGAAAAAATTATGAAAATATTACAAATTGATCGACATTCCAATTCAACATTGACGTCAAAGTTTGGCAGTAATTCAGAGCAAAAGTTATTCCATTTTAAAGGAGGCTGTAAGGTAGAAGAATGAGATCGGTAAGAATCTAATGAAACTTGCAGCGCGCATACATTGAAATATTATCCAACTCGTTGCTTGTGCAATTAGAAAAAGATTGAAAAGGATTTTCTTACAGGAAACCGATACTTTGTATACATTTAACGAACGTATAAATTAATAAAGTAACGAGCGCCGGTGGATGTGACGGTTGATACGGCGCGCACGGTGCATATACGTGTGCATTTGCATACATATATATGCATATACGATCTGTGTAAATTTAGCTATATTCCGCAGAATGCACGTAGATCGTAGATTGTGTACGTTTGTGAGCGGAGATTCGCTCGCGCGCCCGAACGTCATGGACCCGATGCGAGAAATAGACGCGATACGCAGCGTACGGTATCGCGGCGAAATTCGTGTTTAGATGTTAGGCTGAGGTAGGACGGCGCTATCGTGGATTATACGTATCCCTTTATTTGTGGATAAACTGGCGCGGGCGTGTGTACAGACGGTTCAACCCGGGATTCATCTCGTCCACGAACGAGACTCGCGTAATCTTATGTACACTGAAAGATACACCGCGATACACGGCGTACGTACCGGCAGCGTGCGTTATCCCGTACCTGGGAATACTAAAGAGTTCCTAATTGAATGGCTTATTTTGTACTCGCAGCGCGCGAGAGCACTGCGAGATTAATTTTACGAGGGAGATACTTTTGGCGCAGCAGAGCGCCCGATGCATCTATTACGGTTCTCGCGATGAATTCTTATCTCTCCGTTAATTTCGAGCGGACTTTGATTCGGCGGAGTCTTGAGAATACGAGATCTACGGCGCGATCCGTCGTTGGTACAGCAAATTCCATCCAATGTTGTCCCATTCCGTAGGTATAGCAACATTGAAAATCTCCAATTGGGCGCGTCGAATATTTGTGCATCATGACTACCGCTTCGGGGAATCGTTGTTGATTCATCAAATTATTAACAGTCTTGACGCGAATAATGCTCCTGATTGGATGTTTTCGATGTCACTGTGCTTAAGGAAAGGGATAATATTAATGGAGTCATTTGTATGCACGGTCGATAAGGGATGATTCTACGCGGGGAAATCACGCGGAATTTTTTAAACGAAGAGTTTCCTCTCCCAACACGCAACTAAATTTCATTGCTATCGCAACGACGTTTCGCTACAACGGCAAAATTATTTTTTCCGCGTAACAAATATTTTTTCTGTCACTATAATAACAAACAATTTGCTGCGCCAGCAAAAAAATTTATCTCCCTGTGGAACCAGTAGCCTTAACGATTCGAGATGTACGACGCGATCCGTCGTTGGTACGTGCGATCGACAAGGGGATGATTCTTTACACTGATAGAAAATTATAGTTACTTTCGGTGCCGATCATATTTTATAATAGTAGCAACATATATGTAAGGTTATTATCACTGAAATTATAGTAATATTTATTAGATAAATGCTTCTTTTAATTATTTTCCTAATTATTTTTATAGTTAAAATCAAAAAAGTGCATATGGTTGGCGCCGAAAGTAACGGCAATCTTCCGTCGGTGTACGCGAAAAAATCACTCGGAATTGTAACAAAACGAAATAAACAAAACGAAGAGTCCCCTCCCCCCTCTCCCCCCCATGGAACTTCACGAGAAATCGCGACGTCCGGTCGCATTTTCGCGCTGCGATAGGAGCAATTTGAAAGTCGCCGATGAAGATTGTAACCGCGCGGTTGAGTACGCTCGCATTATTGTTGGCGTTTGAAACGGTTTTCAATCCGGACGGCCGATGCGCTCGCGGATTAAATCGAAGGTTCGCACGGTGAAACCGCACGGTAACATATACTTCCTAGTGTGTCCGATAAATACGATCCCCGGTGAGCGGGCGGGCGCGTGCACCCTTCCGAGCGAAAGATTTATTTTCACCGCACATTCTGAAATGATGACCTTTTACGCTGGATTTCGCCCCGCGCGCGTTACGTAGGAAAGATACAAATCACTTCTGGACGTTTGCCGGTTACGAACGGCGGCGCATCCCCGCCGTATACACTCTCGGATCCATCGAGCGCGCGTTCTCTTCGGAAGTAAATGCCGTCGACACATCTCGGAGAGCGCGGGCGGTCTTTGGAAGTGCGCCCCGCGCGACGATACGCTCTCGGCGCCGCGGGCGAGTTTTTCCACCCGACGAGAATAGCCGCGTTTTGCCGTTTAAATATAATTACGTCCGTGAATGGGGGCTCGCGATGGAACGCGCGAGCTTATTCCCGCCGATGGAAAGTTATACGGGGATAGCGCATAATGCATTAGATGTACACGCTATCCCGCATGAAATGTAGATATTTGCGTAATGACGGCTCACAAGCGGCTCGTACGTTGTTTGTTCTTGCAATTCTACTATTTGCCAGCTTACACGATACACTTACGGTCATCCACCCTCCCGGAGTCGCAATTCTCCTACACTGAGAGAAAAAATAGTTGGAGCAACTTTAATCTCGCTATATTTTATCAATTTTGAACACCTCATCTGCACGTCCTAGCTGTTTTAAGCATGCAAAATATATAGCAACGTAAATCCGGGTTTATAATTATAACAATTATGACATTCATTCGTGTAAGTATATTCAATATAATAAAATATAGTTACAATAAAGAACCATACGTACTCATATTTCTGTGAATAGAAATGATTTCTTTTCGACCATATTGTTCTTAACGTGTTAGTTAAAAAAACTATTAATCAATTTAGTAAGCTCAATATTACACTGATGATAAAGGAAAACAAGTGTTATACATATTGCGCTTAATCACAAATTAAAGGAACATTGCTTTTTCCCGTTTTAAAATTTAAATTTAAATGATAAAATTTCAGCGTTATCTGCATGTATACACAAGATGTTCCGCTATAAATGGCCACCCCTTTTTATCTTCTAAACTAAAAGAGTAAACTAATCCACAATAAATATATATTAAATGAGATGGTTTTAACTAAACTCTATTGCGAGCATGGTTGTTGTCTATAAAAATTACTTAAATTGGAGGACAAAAAAGTATGCATAATTTTTTACGGTAATATGCATATTTCGATGTAATAAAAGTTACAGCCCTGTTTACAACTCATAAAGTGTAAAGTTTCACGGGTGACTACTACCTTTACATTTTCGTCGTGCCGTGTTTAAACAACTTCCGGCTCCTGCGTTAACGGCTGATATATCTCATCTGATTGCGGTATTCAGTGTACATAAAAAATCAAATTTAGCGTTACACGTCAACTGGTAATGTGTAAGAGTCGGGAGTTGGTCACACGGCAAGGCCGAAAAAACAAAGGTAGTAACTACCCGTGAAACTTTACACCGACGAAACTTGTAGAACTCGTAAAATAATTCCGTTATATCGCACATCGTTGTAATCATTATAAACAGCGTTACAACTTTCGTTACATCGAAATATTAATATCTATTACCGTAAAAAATTATGTAAGCCTCTTTGTCCTCTAAATTAAATTATTTTTATGAACAACCATCATGCTCGCAATTACAATTAAAACGGACACGCGGCAGCTGCAATTGTATCGAACAAGCTTTTTGTTTCGGCGATAGAGAGGGAGAGAAAAAGGAAGATAATTAAATCTATATGCCGCAACGCTCGAGAAGAGAACTCCGACGTGACCGGTGTGAAACGTTTCGTTTTTCAGGGGACACCGCACCTGTGCGCTATCTGTCCGTGAAAGGTCTTCTCCCGCAGACAGCCGGTTACATGACTTACGAGGGCAGCACGACGCATCCCGGTTGTTGGGAGACGGCGGTCTGGTTGATCCTCAACAAACCGATTTACATCACAGCGCGAGAGGTAACTATCGACGAGCTATGCGCCGCATTTCTCTCTCTCCCTCTTTCTCTAGCTGTCTATTTCCCCCATCTCCGAAATTGCCGTCCGGCCGGAAGAGCGAAGAACATTGATGGAAAATTACAGTTAGTTTCGTCGCCAAACATATTTTATAGTATTAACAATGTGCATATAAAGTTGTTATCACTGACATTATTTTTGGAACCGGAACTGTAATTTTCTATCAGCGGAGATGGTTCTGTCGATAATAAATGTCGCAAACGAATCGACGTGAGTTGTCATACTCACGATACGCTATTTCTGTTATTAGCTGTACGTCCTAAGGAGAATAATGCAGGGCCCTTCCAGTACCCCGAAAGCACCTCTCGGTAATAATTCCAGACCGCTGCAGGGTCTTCATTACAGAACCGTGCGAACAAATATCGATTTTGCGAAGGTAATACAACGCTGCAATTGTGTCATTTAATACGCGCTAATATTAATTTGTGCGCGAAGAGTGCACGGGTCAATCAAGGTAACTAACCCGCCACGATAAATGCGGCGAGGCCGACGTATATTTGCATTTCCACTTAAAGAGAAAATCTCGAAAAGTGCGGGAAGAACTCTTACGCAGAGAAAAGGGTTTCCTTGAATTTAGTACACGTGTTTGTTCGACTTGGGTTTATTTAATATAAACGACATAATTTAAAAAATTGCCATAATTTAATATCGAATATGATTTTATTTAAACGAAAACGTTTCACTAGAGCAGCGCTGCCATCTAGTTATCGAAACAATAAAAGTGAACTAGAAAAGATGCCAAGTCACATTTCAGAGATCAAAATAGTAACTAAAAGTGACATTTTTTGGTCAAATTCTGAGGTAGCTAAGGCTATTTATCTTCAATAAGAAAATTTATTTTAATTATATGTATATTAAATATTGTTCCACTGAAACAAAAAGAAAAGTTCTTCAATATTTTCCCAACTAATATTGTTACTTCCTTCAAATAACTTATTGCTCGCGACAATCATCGTAATATTCGCATAAAAATACAAAAGAAATATGTTATTTGATGCCAAAATATTTAATGTTGAGAAATCAAACAATTCCATTTATTGAATCACACATTCGTTCATTTGCCCCGTTCCAAGAGACAAATTTGTTTCAATTCGAGAAATTGTATTAAATCCAAAGAAATCTTTTTCTCTGTGTATGAATATTTCATCAAAGGTAAGCCTGAACGTTAAATTTCAGTGTGTTTATAAAAAATAAGCAGATATCGGTCGATCTCTCTCGACAAATCCCAAATAGAGACCCGCGATCGCGCTATCAATCGGCACCGCTGCTGGCCGATACAGTTATGTCGGACGTCATCGCTAGAAGCGGAGCGATTAAATCGACGCCGACGCATGAATAGCTCATTACGAAATATTCGTGTCATAAATACCTCGATTGACCCGTAAAGGATCAATTTCGCCGGAATCATGTCGATTTCCTCCCACCCCTCTTCCCGCCTCCGCGTGATCGCAACTTCATTGAGCTTTCTCTGTTCGGCAGCGGGAAAACGCCAAGTGCCCGTCGATGGCGCAGGACATGCACTATAGAGGTAACACACGATATTAGCCAGGCTCCAGGAGCCCCCGAATTCCGTGCTTCACCGCGAGGGGATCGTCTCGTTGAGAATCTGAAAAGATGACTTTTTCCTTCCAGCCAACACGTGGCGGGATGACAGTTCTCTATCGCACAACGTAGTCTGAAGGCCGGCGGCAGCGCGAAAGGACCACGAGAGAAGACTTTTATCCAGAGGCGCGCGGGGACAACGCGAGTTCGCGTGATGCGACGGAGAGGCAGGGGCACGGCGAGGGGGGGGGGNGGAGCTAAGTTCGAACGGGGAGGAACTCGCTGTACCGGGGGCTACCGATTCACCGTTGCTGTGTGAGAAAAATAATCCAAAAAAGGGAAGAAGAAATAAACAGTAGAACTGGACGTTATATTTCGAACGCTTGTAAGATGAACGCGCGGAGTCCTTTGTCAAGCTCCCTCCACCATAGCGATTCGCGTGTGTCTCGAAGCGAACGAGTGAGTGTAATAACCGTCGCGTCGTGAAGAAGAGACTGTACGTTTAATTTCTAGATAAGTTTGTCGCGCGTCGACCGGCTTTTGGATTATATCGTTCGGAGGAGGGAGGCCGAAGTTGTGTTTTGAAGTCACCGTCGCGCTAACGCGCGAATGACGGCGAAAGGGAGCTCCGGCCCCGATGAGAAGATCTCCCGGGATCTCGTTTAAGCTTACGCTGAGTTCGCGCGTTCGAGGAATGTAACGCGATTATCAGGGATGGGCATCACATTGGAGGATAATATTACGGTATTATTACGATATATAAACCGCAGCATAATTTTATAAAACGGACAATAGCATTCTCAGCCGACGAATGATTCCTATAACGAAGTGCTAGGCGTTGTCTCTCTCCTAAGGTAAGAGTACTCCTTTTCTAAGAGTCCTGCCCATTGCTGATAATAATCGCTCGCACGCACGCATACGACCGTTTCTGTTTTCGCGCGGCAACAGAGAGAAGAGGAATTACCGCTTTGCGCAATTGATCCCGCCGCCTCGCGCGAATCGAAACGGGTTATTTGGCAGGTTTTGTCAATTATTTCGTAGCCAATGGCGATCACAGTGTGAACGATGTAAAGCGAAAACCGTTACGAAACCGGCGGGAACCTGGGTGGGGGAATGGGATGAGGGAAATGAAGCGGAAGCACAGGAAGAAGCGAGAGACGATCGTGATGGATCTCGGGAGAAGATACAGAAGAAGAAATAGCTAGGTATCTCGCAGGAGGAGGTGGAGGAATGGCAGGAGGAGGAGGGGGGAAAGGGGGCGAGTGCAATTTCGTAATAGCACTGGGATAGAGAGGAGTAGGATAATAAAGAAGGAATGGTTCGGAAGAGGAAGAGATTAGGATGAAGTCATGTGGTAGATCAACCGCGCGTAAGGAAGGGAACGCTGGCTCTCTCGGTTAGCTTGGCCGATGGGCGAATAATCCCCGGTCGCTTTTGTATATAAAACACACAGATACGGAAAATGTACACGAACAAACATTACCTAATAGGCACGTGTAAGCAGCGAGAGACGAGGATGGAAACTCTTTTAGGGAGGCAAAAAGCGTGTGTATAGAGAATAAAGTTGTATCATACGAAAGTGAACGTTTAACGATTGTGGTTAATAAATAACGATAATAATAAAGGCGACGTTATATTGTACAGCATCAGAGCTCGCTGTCTCTCTTTCACTCTTTCTTTCTTTCTGTCCCGTGGAATCTACTTCGAACGTGCTTATTCGTTGCAATCGTAATCGTACAATATTCGTTTTCCGCCGTTGTCGCATCCTGTCCTACGCGATCGCGAGCTCTTACGTTCCATCGGACATGCGAATGTCTCCTCCACAGAATAATTCGCACACGCGTCACGCATGGTTATCGCGCGAACGTGACTATCGAAGCTGCAAATTAATAAATTCCGACAACCCGCTAATTTCCAAGCGCCCGAGTCGCTCGGGATAGTTCGTTTTTCTCTCTCCCCCCCNCCCCCCCCCCCCCCCTCTTTCGAAGTTAGGCATTACAAATTTCTTCGCCGACGTGCGTCAAGGGTAAAGTTCCAACGATGCTCGCGAAAGTTTCGCGCGCTCGAGCATCGGGACTACGCGGCGATCCAAAAATTCGAGCAGGCTGACAAATTATCCGGACAAAACTGGGTTGAACACTGGCCCGAAGTTCATGCCTCGGCCTGCGAGACCACGTTTCATCCTTAATTAATTATCCGCCCGCGGAGTAAGGCAACTTTCGCGGGATGCTCCTCTCTCGCGAGACGAAGGTAAGTGGATTCTATTTTACCAATTTGCGGAATAATTTATACGCGTGACAAAACTGATCTCCGTCGGCGGGGCGCGCTATTTTTCAGACGGCAGACGCTGAGCGTGTCGAGCTTCCGTGACACGGTGACACGGATTGCGCGATTTAATTCACGATCGAGGTGAGAAAGGTGGGCAAGAACGAGCGGCGGCGGCTGCATGCGATGTATAGCTTAACGAGGTCACTGAGTATGTAATTTGACTCAATGCGCGGCCAATAATTCGCCGCTCGCTCTTTGAATGCGAGTGTGAATAACGTAATTACGTCGCTTAAATGATTATGCGGAAATTCGTCCTCTTGGCAACATGCGGGGGAAAGAAAAACGACCTGTGTATGTATGTGTGTGTGTGTGTGTGTGTTGTGTGTTTGTCACGTGTAATTTAATCGAATTACAATCGCATTCGAAACAATTCGAGATCATAAGGCATTTTATACAGGTTATGCAGTACTGCCATTCAATCGCTCAAGTTATTTTGTCATCTCTTCCTTGACAAGTCACTAAAAAATTCATTAGCGTCCAAAATGGACCACTATAGTTACCTTTTCCCCGAGCTGCCATTAAATTTGGAAAACATGGTTCTATACAGAATGTCCCAGATCAACGTGGACAAATTTAGTGAGAGTATAGGACGGATTGAGACGAATAAAAAAGTCATGTACCATTTTGCATACAACACACAAAATTTTAACTATTGGAAATAACCAAATATAGAAACTTCTTTGATTAATGATTAAAAGATTTGTGTATTATGCGCAAAATGGTGAAGGATTTTTTTTCTTCCGAATGGTCTATCTATAAATATTTCACAACCGTTGTACCTGACAACAGATTCAAAGTTTAACGTTAAAGTTCAACATAATGATGTCTGTCGCTAGATGTAACAATTGTTATATACTTGTAGTTTAGGCCATTCTGGACAAAAATGTCCATGTTGATCTGAGACACCATGTATATATATTTGCCGCGTCTCTCTTAATAAAACAGCCCCGAAAACATATTTATATCGTTCTTGATTTTTCTTTGTTACGAACTTCCAAGCCATATTATGAACATAATTCGCTATATGTTATCTGAAAAATCTGAAAACTTGGAAAGGTAAGTGTATTATTTTCTTGCTTAAATGGTCTTAATTATTTTCAGAATTTGACGAAAAATATCTTTTGATCGCTATTTACACAACACAGACGTCTTAAAAACATTCTAAGGACATTCCTACGTCCACGGGACGTCCGGATAAAATGTGTTGTATTTTGTACTTTGATATCTGAAAGATCATTTTGACACATTTTCTGTCAAGAAGCGGTCACTATTTTTGTTCTTATGATCAGAATAAGGCAGCGGTAGGTTATGCAAAACGACAGATCGCAGAAATTCCCGAGGACTTTCGTTATACCTAACGTGGAAGCCGCTGTCGAGAATCCGCCGAACGCATTTCGCATTTCTATTCGAATCGGCGAAAATACTCGGCGTATTTTCCATGGGGCGCAACGTTCCAATCATTGTATACACAATCGCTGCCTCTCATCCGCCGGTTTGTAGCGAACAGTTCTTCGGCCGAACATTCTCGCAACCGATACCGGTGCGGCGCACGTGCACCGCGCTCGCGTGTGGCGACCTAAACGAACGCAACGAATTTAAAGCACGGGGGATCGTCGGAGAATGTGCTGAGTAGCTGGCTCGTCGTGCTGAGAGTAGATAGGTAAGAGGATGCAGCGAGATATGCTTACCGAGCTCAAAGTCCTTTGAGGGTAGAGGAAGGGCGAATAAAGAAGGTGGAAGAAGGGAGAAGAGCCAGGCCACATGGCGTTCTCTCGATTGAAGAGGCAGCCGAGGGAGAGGAGAGTCCTTGCACTCTTTTATGGAAATTAAGGACGTGATTTCGGATTCCCACAAGTACAAGTTCCATCCCCCGCATCCTCCTCCCGCTCACCCATGCGCTCTCTCACTTTCTCCCTCTTTCTCTTTCATTCTGTCAAACCCTCTATGGCCTCTTCGTGACGGTGAGAGCGCGCGCGGTATTCCTCGTTTCCAGACTCCACGCCACGTATTACACAACGCGCGCGTATTACGTCGTATACGCACGCAACACAATATCGCCCGGTAGTTTTGCAAGACCGATGCATCCACGCACAAGCTGCATTGATATATTTTATATATCTAACGCGCGTCGTATAACCGGTGGGGTTACTGCGCTTCGCTCTCCCCGGGCTTCTTTGATCGTTCAAATCGATTTCCCATGACGAAAATTCGATACGGTTCCGCCTCTGCGTCTCGAACCACGAGATACTTCGTCCGAGAACTTATTTCTCGAATATTTACGCCTTATGCAGTAAATCTCGGAGGGGAAGGGAGGGGAAACCAGCGCGCGTTACTGTTTACGCCAAGTCATTGCATCGCGCGAGGCGTGATATTGATTCGAATTATTTCTCACTAGTAAAAGTTTTATTGAACTATATAAAAATACTCTCAGATACACACACACACACACACACACACGCAAGATATATATTTATCCCACCGCAGCATCTTACGCGTTTCGCATCACAACAAAAATGCGTGAGCGCGCTCGCGTGTTCTGCATAGCCTACATTCGATTCGAAGGATCGAACTCGGGCGGAACGTGTCAGATCTAAATATGAACCAATTTTCTTGGAGCTTAGAGCGCGGTGTATTGACGAAACGCGTATCGAACACGTACAGTGCCAATTTAATCAGACGTTTCTCTTCGTTCGATATGAAGCGCCGGGCGTTGAACCGCGTTCGGCGCGGTTCAACGGAATGGAAGTTGGGAAATAATAACCGAAAGTTAAATGCAAGTTCATTTGACTGCAAACCGCTTTAACGCGCATGCAACGGCGATTGCGGCGTTTCCCGCGATCGCTGTTTCTCGAATGCGGAGCGGGGGGGAGGGGGGCTCGAAATTACCGCTCTCGCTCTTAAATGCGCGCAAGTATTTACGTACGCGCCGTTAATAACCGCCAAATAGGAATTCTTGGCAAATAAAAATGTGAAGCATAACAATGATAATAATAAGGGATCGTTCAAAAATTACGTCACTAGAAGTTTGGGAATTTTTTATCCCCCGCCGTTAGAAAATATCTAGGCTCATTTCCAATATTACGTGACACGTGGAATTACTCCCTTCCCCTCGCACGTAAAATAAAAAAATGGCTTATAATCATATTGTGGGTACACAAAAAAAGAGCCAGATTTAAGTAAATAATTATTCCGATACTCCTTGGTAAATTTTTACTTGGATTTTTAAACTTTAAATTTTACTTCGATCGAGTAGATATTTTATTCGGATAATTTAAGGCTATGTTCAAAAATTCACTGCCAGCGCTGAAAATCTATAGTTCATGTTACGTATAGATTTTCAGCACTGCACTGAATATTGGAACGCAGCCCAAGTAATATTTACTTGATCCGAATAAAAATTTGCTAAGGAATAGTTATTTATTTGAATCTAATACTTCTTTCCTGTGTAATAATTATTAGACTGCGCACGCTACTATCTTTTACTAAAATACAAATAACTTTTAGGCATAATATCAAAAATTAATTACTTTATTTTATAATTCTGATTAATAAGCGTTGTATTTTTCAAAGCGAATAAATATTTAAAATAAATAAATAGTAAAATTAACATTTTGATTACTAACAAAAAATGTCAAATTAAAAAAATTTTGATCAGTGTAACTAAATGTAACTAAATATGTCACGAATGCAAACAAAGTGTAGAAACACGTACAACCATAGTTACGAATAGTTACAAATTACATCATCTAATGTGACGTTCCATAGTCTTTATCTTTCCCTTTTCTCTGCCATCATAGACCGTCACGCGAACTAATAGACCCACCCTCTCTTCGTAGTGCGACGTAATTGTTGAATGACCCCTAGTAATAATAATAATAGTAGACACGAAGGTATTTATAATATTAATCATACAGTGGTAGTGGTTAAGACTAATTTGTGCTTAAAAGGCGAGGCAGCAGCACGAATGCTGGTATTAATGCTTTATCTGGATAATAATTACGATAATAATTTTATGAAGTTAAACACAGAGAAAATGATATTGTTACACGTGAGCATATAAACATCTGTGAGCGCAACACTTTTATCGTTCACAGCAGATCACATTATTGGATATTCGACGCAATATATTTCGACGCAGCTGAGTGCAAAATCGCAAAGGAGAAAGCGGAGCGAGTTTTGTTCGGCAGTTGGTTATAATATTTAATTGCGCAATAGGAAAGTGCAGTGCGCGAAACTTTGCCGTACGACAACGAGGAAAGCCAACAGATTCTGACAAAGTGTTTCGCACAGGTAATCGCTGTGGAAGTC